TTTTTTTCCAAGGCATTGCTTCGCGAATTTTTGGACAATTTCCCGTCTTTTCGATTTTCAAAATCGACCGATCGGCGATGCACGCATTTGGTTGTCTTCAGTGCAAGTACGTGATTCTCACTTTGCTTTCAACGCATAATGAACTTTTAAAGTGCAATCCAGAAAGTGTAGGAAGCCATAAAATAGGGGAAGTCTTTTACCAAAATTGTTTTGTTTACAGATGGACGAATTTGTGAATATTGGACAGTAAAATTCATTTATGCGCTGGTCAATAACTGCACCATCGTATCGCAGTCTTGGTTAAACGAATGCATCCAACGGAAAGCGCTAGTGCCCACGGTCAGTCCAAAAACTTCTTTTTTTCTCACTGTACCACGTTTTTGAAAGGTGAGATAAAACAGGAAATGTTTTCTAATTTGTTGGCATGTAAACTGTATCATTTTACAGGCAGATTTTGAAGTGACACTAAAAATTGACGATTCTTTGGTAAATATAAGCACCCAGCGCGCGCTGCTCAATCCGTGCACTCTTTTTACTGGCACTGTTTTCTATGTTCCTGAAACTTATTTCAAGACACGTCTGGTTACAAGAGGTAGTTTTGTTACTGAACGATGCGATAAATAAGATTACAGTTATGTTATTTTTTCGAATATATTTTAGTTTTTTCCAAGTTTTTTTTTTTTTTTTCGAAGAGAATGTCATAACTGCTAGTCAGCAAAGCACCTTATCGTGGATCAGAAGTGGCATTATTCGGAACAAAGTGGTGCTGCTCAATACTTGCCAAGAGCATCTCGAAACCGCGAAACTTTGTCAACTGCTTCTGTCAAAAGAGGTTTTTAGCCATAATGTCGTCTTCGGACAATGAATATAGGATTGTAGTTGGCGAACGGGTGTTGCAGCACTGGACAAAACAACTGAAGAAATTGTCGGCTGTACAGGTGGAGAACTGGACAATGAATTACATTTGACCGAAGCATTCCACGCAATTTTAGTTTCCAACTAAACTACACCCTTTTTCAAATGTATTTTTTTTTAGTGAACTTAAAGAAAAGAGATTATCACAAGTTGCCAAGTTCGCATTTTCCTTGTGAACGGAAGTTAAAAGTAATTTTGGCGGCGTTTGAGAGTCCCCGTTTTCTGCTCTTAGGTTGATAATGGTAAACGAGCCGTGCGAAATTTTTCGTTTTATAATTTTTTGCTTTCCTGTTTTTCACATTTCATTATTCCGTTTTTAACTTGCTATTCCCTTCCTCTCGTTTTCTTATGTGAGTTACGTTATTTGTACTTGTCACATGTAGTTAATTCTTCTTTGACTTCGAATTTTTGTAATATTTCCAGTTTTCTGAAATTCCCTAAATTTATTTTTGTGACATTTTGCAGTTGTTATGATTTAACAAAATTTTTAGAAGTTTTCCTGGAAATAATCGAACTCAGTGGTGGTAAATTTGTAAAATATGTTTGGAACTTGGTCGGTGAACGAAGCTATATAATATTTGCCCCGGATTGCTTGGACCACGACGCTGCTCGAAGGTTAATTAAAATGTTGTGGAAATGTTTCGCAAAAAATCAGCTACTAAAATTGCATCATTTGCTGCAAAATGCATCGCTTTGCATTCTGTAGCAATTTTAGTTTTTAGATTTCATTGCTTTGGATGTCTTGCAAATTTTTTCCAGAATTGAGTGACAAAAATAAAATTCCACTGTAGCGAAAATAAAAGATAACACTTTACAGTTATAAAGATTATTGCTGATAAAAGTGAAAATAAATAAATAGCAGTACGCACCAGGGCAGTCGGTGCGATCATGCGTTTTGTTCAGTTGGATCCACCGAACGATTGCCTGTTAATGATTTTCACTGCTTTGCACTTTGTTCTATGCAAAAATAGTTGAAGTGTTGAAAAATGTTTAAAACTTTCACGCACCAATACACGAATGCTGAATTTGAAACCTCGAGAGATGAATTTTTTTGCAAAATTTCAATCTCATAATTTTCTGACTTTTGATTGATTTTTGAGACAGAATTTTCACGTGGTCGCACATGAGACCTCGACATACTTAGGAACTGGACTTGAGTTTGTGAAGCCACTGCTCAGGCAGGAAACATTCTTGTGAAATTTTCAGTTTCCATATTCTTCTGGCTCCCGAGGTAATGATTTTTTTCACCAAAACTTCCAGGGAACGTTAAAAATTTCCGGAGTTGTGTGTGAGCAGAGAATGCCACGTTAGAATTTCAAGTTTTTATGCGCTTTTTGCAGCTATGCAATGCAGAAAACGCATATTGACGAGAGGTTGTCTGTGT